TGGCAGGTGCGGTGCTTTGGTGTGCTTATTCCATGTTTCCTATCAAACTTCTATCTTCCTTGTCTCCCCTCCTTCTTCTTTTGTGTTTGTTACTACTATATGCATGTGACACCTCTAGCCTTCGGTCTGCGGCACTTATATGGCCTTTTTAAGTTGCAGTGTTATAAAGGTATTTCTAAAACTACAACTAAAACAACTAAGACGGAGTTGGAGTAAAGGAGCCGGTGGGGAAAATGCCAACAGCACTCGGATTATATGTCGCCATGTCACGGTGTAGATGATCGTCTTTGTTGGTTTCGCTTTTTGAGTGGAAGGGTTCCTTCTTATCTTAGTTTAGCCCGCTTGTCCTTAAAAGCGACCACTTTTCTTTTCCATTTGCGAGCCAGTACCATGTGTGTTAGTGAAATGTTATCGTTATTATTATTGTTGTTGTTATTGTTATTATAATAATAATAATAAAAATAATGATAATTACTATTACTATTATTATTATTATTACTATTTTTACTATTACCATTTTCATTATAATTGTTATTACTATTATTATCATTATTATTGTAATTACTATTACTATTATTATTATTATTATATTAGCACCTATTCCTATAACTATATTATTATATTCTTATTACTACTTTTCACAATTGTTTAATGTCTGTAAAATTTCCGTCCCCAGAACAAGTTGTGTTTTGAGCAGTGACCAGAGCTCGAGTCTGTTTCTCCCTCCGTGTGTCGCCAGTTTGCCCGTCGTGCGTCTCTGCTGCAGGAACAACCATGGCGGTGGTCGGAGCAATGATAGCCAGCGTGTTGATAGTGGCGGCCGTGATCTATTCACCCGTGGGCGCCGACACGATGGACCATTCGACAATGAACCACAGTATGATGAACCATACTGACCACTCCACAATGAACCATTCTGACCACTCCTCGATGAACCATTCTGACCACTCCTCGATGAACCATTCTAACCATGACATGCCAGAGCATAACCACGGGACCAATATGACGGACCATTCCGGTCACGATATGTCTGGCCATGACCATTCTGGACATGACCATTCTGGACATGACCATTCGGGCCATGATATGTCTGGGTCGGGCCATGATATGTCTGGGTCTGGGTCGGGCCAAGATATGTCTGGGTCGGGCCATGATATGTCTGGTATGGGCCATTCTGGACATGGGATGAATATGCCTGGCATGATAGTAAGTCCATGTCATTCATACAGCAGTTTTAGAAAAGCCTAAGAATTTGTCAGAAATAGTTTCAGTTTATATGTCGGTTACAATTGACATCGCCTGATGTCAAAGATAGAATTAGTGATTAAATGGCTGCTAAAGTTGTTTTTTTTCTAAAACTTGAGTGTTGTTAGAAACTGCAAGTGGATATTTTTGTGCCTTTGATGTAGGTTTTTCAGCAAACTTCACCACGCAGAAATGTGTTTTGAAATGGATACAAAAGATGTAGAGCCGGAAAACCAAAAATTCAATAGAATTCACCAAACTGGCTGAAAAAATACAGTTTTCTATGATTCATTTATTTGACGAGCGTCTAATTTCACCACGATGTCTGACATTTGTCTTCATCGTAAATTGATTCATAATGAACAATAGAAAATCGGAAAGCATAAGAGGAACAAAGCTATCTGATAAAAGACTAACGTGGACGAGAGGATAGAAAGTTACATCGCTTATTGACTTTAATGTATCCCTCAGAAGACTTGCACGACTTCGCAATACAGGCAGTTCCCTTGGCTGATCTGTTCATTCTAGATTTGCATTCCGCCCCCTAGTGGGATTATAATGTTGCACCCTCCTTGGCACACTGCTGTCATTCACATATCAAGTCTCTGCCAATTCCCACGTTCCCATTTGCGACAGCGTGAACTGGGGAAAGGTAAAGTACCTTTACTAATGGTACAGCTTCCTCTGGAATTAAACGTACAATTTTTTCAATATCACAATTTTGGCGTGTAACAGCCCTTGGGGAAAGTTTAGCGCCATAACGGGAAAATTTAAGGCCTCTCTGTCCCTTATCGCTGTTTTACTGGAAAATTTCATTTGTGTCCATAGCTCATATCACAGAATATGGTTGATATATTATTTTAGCGAGAAATCTTGTCTCTCAATTCAGAAGAAAAAGAAAAATAGACTCGTGTCTATGGTGTAATGGTTAGGCTCTTCACCTTGCAGACAGTTACGATTATGATTATGAGTTTAGCTTTCTTGTTGATGAAGCTATTTCATTAAGTGTATCTATCTTTCTACTGAGATGCTGTAATCTTCTCATCCCAGATTGGTCCTTAACAAGGAGAGTCGGGCGGGTGGTGTAGTAATTGATCTGAACTTTGTCTTGATTCAGATTTTAACCATCATTAACGTCACAAAAGAAAATGGATAAATCCTATTATGCTATTACGAAAACCCATTTCTTCTGTCCTTTCTTTTTCAGATGTACTTCCACACAGGATACAAGGAATTTGTTCTCTTTGAGGAGTGCATGACAGAATCCAAAGGAGGTAAACAACTGATGAGTCAGCTGTCTGGTCTCGGTTTTCCTATTTTTTCTAAAATCATTTAGGAAAGTGTGGCTCTAAGTTATGGCATACTTTGATTACAGTGTACAGAGTTGTTGTTTTTTCTTCAGCCTGCTTGAATTCGCAATTTTCGCAATTTATAAAGAAATTTGCAAATTAAAATGGTTTGCGGTATGATAAAAGGGGCCCTATTGCTTTGGAATACATAACCCTGGGCGAATCAAATTGCACATTAAAATGTTCACATGAGATGGCCAAAAGGAAAATAGAAAAGAGCTTGTTAAAAAAAACCAGTGCACAGTATTGCGTTAAATTTTTTGTTGTTTATATTGTTGATAATATTTATACAAGAATAATTTGAAAGATCAAGCTTTTCAGTTCACCTCCTCTTTATGCGGGAGGCTGGTGGGTGCTCTTTTATGGTCTGCTTCTTATTCTGCTTCTTTCTTTTTATTTTATGTCATTTTTATATTTTCTGGCCAAATGTAGTTTTAAGTGTCTTTAGGCCATTCCCAAAGGGGGGACATTAACATGTTCTTATACACAGAATTGTAACTGGGCTGATTCATCAATGTCACGCTCCTAACTGTGCCTGAACTGCATACGGGGAACTGCTGCTTTTTCTTTCCTAATCCTTACTCCCCCCC